GTAGAGATTACCGTGTACATTTTCAGTTCTTAGAATAATCTTATCACAACACTGTCAAGATAACATATATACCGATGAGGTTTTCAAGGCAATGGCATGTCACGGCAGGTTACTTCAATACAGTCTTCATTTATGAACCTCATCCCGAAGTATGACTGACTCCAGAAACATCATCTCGAAATTTACTAACCACTATAGGCCTCAGCCGAGAAGACGCACCAATGTTACTAAGCCCTATATATGCAAAAAGATCATTGAGTGGACAATACTTCATATTGCTGAAGTAAATTCTGTTTCACTTTCGAACGGACAGGAAACTAGATGGCCTGTGTTAGTCCTGGTAATGGTGGTCTTTCAGTTGCTTAAATTTTCTTCTAAAATGTCGATAGATCGAGCTCCAATCACATGTTAAGTTAATTAATTCCATTCGTCGACGATTTGATAGGAAAGTCGATAATCAGGTGACAAGTAATTTGTTTTGTGGCTGTGAACGTTTTTGGGGTGTCCTAGTGAATCTTCTGTTTTGGAAAACCAGATAGGTGAGGGCAAATCAGATACAAATTTACTACTAACTAATTTAAAACTGTGGTAAAGTTGCCTGCCGTTCTTCTATATGACAATGGAAATAAGTTTGGTTTAGCCAGTCGTGCATCAGATGGAAACCTTACTACTTCGAGACTCAGCTTAGTGTGTGTCTGGGCAACTGGTAGCTCAGTGTTATTTATGTATGTATCTGTACCTTGGTGACCAAGATGCACCATAATACAACTGGAAGCATTTACTGGCGACTGCTAAGTCACAGACCAGTCACATAATCTCCGTAAGTCAGTTTGAGGTTCTAAACTATCATATTTATATTTTATCACTTTCTATATCTTAATATAGTAAGCATATAGCAAAACCGATGATGATAAGAGACTAGGAAGGTCATTTACATACAGGAGGAACAACATTGTCCCCAAAACTGTACCCTGAAACACTCCGCCCATCATCGTCTCCCAGATAGACAACTTGGAGTCCGCCCGTACTCTTTTTGATGCGCAAATAGGAAGTCCTTTGTCCACATTATTAAATTTCCTCCAATCTCGATATTACTTACCTTGCATAAAAGCCGGTTGTAAAGAATTTTGTCAAAAACCTTGCTGAAACCAATAAAGGCTAGGTCTATAGGCAACGTTTGATCTTTATGAGCACACCAACTTTCACTGGTTACTAATAAGTTAATGAAACATGAACAACCTTTGCTAAAACAATGCTGCTTTTCAGAAAGAATCCGATTTTGGCCGAGATACCTAAACAACTTCCGAATCTTTTCTAAAATTTTAAAGATCACGCTGGTTAGGCTTACGGGTCAATAGTTCCCGGGTTTATACCTCATACTTGTTTTGAAGATAGGAACTGCTACAGTATTCTTCTAGTCTTTTAGTGGTCCATCCTGGGCTACAGATAGATTAAAACATGTGCTTAAGAGATTCTCGACGAAATCTGCTGATTTATTTCGTAACCTAGGATGCATTTCACCGGATCCCATGGATTTGCCCGTACCAACGACACCAAGTTCCTTGATGGTCACAGTGTCCAGTGTGTGTGCGGTTGGGTTCGTTGGACTGAAGAGGATGGCACCTTTTTGGTACGTACATTTCTTAAGTATTTTGAAAGTATATGACCTATAGCATAATTGGCCTTGGATATTGATGCATTACTACGGTCTCCCAACAACGCTGAAATGTTTTCTTTTCCCTTAGTCCTTTGGTCTATGTGCGAGTGTGTTTAAGTAATCTATAGATTCACTAAGAAGTCGCTCTTTGTGTAACTTCCGAAAGTCGTGGAGGATCGAGGTACAAATATTTCGAGCTTCTCGATATTAAAATTTCGTCAATAAATCACTCTCACATTCTTATTCTCTTCCGGAGAAGGGTGTGAACCTCTTACTGAACCACAATGAGACTATTTCCAACTCCTTAGTGTATTGCAAGAGATGTGCGATGCAGTGACTCCTATATACAAATTTCTGAATACAACCCCAGCCATTACTATGAGGGATTCTGGTTCTGTGATCAACCTACAGAGGATGATGAGTGTATAATATTTTGCATGTTCGCCTTCCAGACATTTGGTCTGACTTGTGATGACTCATCCACGCTATTGGTAACTATTTAGAAATCAGAGACTGGAACTGCGTGGTCACTTTTGTCTAGGAGTGGCACTTAATCGAGTTTGTGACATCATCCTCACAATGGATTAACATGAGACCATGTAAGGATGATTCGGAATCCGGGGTGCTTCTTTCACATGTTGCACTAAGGCATATGCGATAACGGCATCAACTGGTCTCTGTTCGAAAGAATTCTCTGACAATTCATTCATCAGATTCTTCCAGCCTACCGTAAGTGAATTAAAGTTTCCTAAGATTAAGTATCGATCATCTGATGACTACGTTGTTGCAATAGTCATGGGGCACCAGGACTCCTAAATCTTTTTCGACTTGGGATACTACTAGAGAGGAGTTTCCTAAGTTGTAACTGTAGTTTGCGACATGTCGCAGATGGACTACTTTACACTTTGAAGTGTTAAAGGTAAGTCCGTTATCGTCTGCCCAACTTTGAAGTCGCGTCAGATCCTCCTGAAGTGCCTGTGTATCGTCTTGGTTGCGTATCTCTCTCCAAAGTTTCACGTCGTCGGCAAAAAGTAATAAGTCTGACGTTACCTGTTGAGGAAGATCATTTATGTAGATCAAGAAGAGAAGAGGCCCTAGTACTGAGCCCTGGGGAACCCCACTAGGACATTCCATAGCCTGAGATAAAGTGAAATTAACCCTAACCTTAAAGTGTCGATTTTTTAGGTATGAAGTAAGCCAATCGATTAGAGGTGGTTTGATACCTAGTCGTTTGAGCTTGTTGATAAGACACAAGTGGTTAACCTTATCAAAAGCTTTTGAGAAATCAAGGTAAATGACGTCAACCTTTCCCTTGCAATCGAGGATGCTTGTCCATTTGTCCACCGCAGTCAGAAGGTTGGTTATACAAGAGTAACCCTTCCTGAAACCATGCTGTTGGGGTGAGAAGAAATTTAAGGACAGTAGATAGTCATTTAAACCGTCGCATATCAGGGACTCCATGAATTTTGAAGGTAATGACAGAAGAGCCACCGGCCGATAACTTGAAGGTTCATTGCGTCGACCACCTTTGAAAATTGGTGTGATGTGAGCCAACTTCCAGTTTTCCGGTAATTTGCCTCGGCTAAGCGAGTGTGAAAACATCACGCTGAGCGGCGTTGCCAGGATTGAGGCTGCCTCCCTCAGTATGGCAGGATGAACCATATCCGGGCCAGGAGAAGTGTCAAGTCTTAAGTGCTGCAGTTTCCGGAACACCAAGTCAGCGCTTAGGTCCACTTCAGAAAGTCCTGTGGAATTGCAGATGAAACTGTCGTCAATAAAGTTGATATCAGCCGGTTGAAATGTTTGAGAGTAATGGGCCGCCAGAAGGTTAGCGGCGTCGCCATCGTTGTTGGTCGGGCCGTTAAGACCTAGCAGTTGAGAAACTCCTGTTTTGGCTTGACAAAGAGAGGCTGCATAACGGAATAGGCTTCTAGGGTTAGAGGCGAATTTGTCCATAAGCTTTGTTTGGTACTGAAGCCTGTCTTCTCTTATAGCCTTCGTGCATGTGTTCCTGATATGTTTGTATTGCCTATACGCTCCATCGTTATTAGTTCGTTGATGACATTTTATATCGTCTAGATTTTCTTTTGCACTATATATAATTTTTGAAAAACCCGATTTTAATATGCTTATATATTTTTATTTTTATTTCGAAAAAAATAAAAAATCTGTATCATAACAATCTTTTTTTTACTCTATTACCTGTGTATGAGTTTACTTTCCTTTTTTTCGCCCGCTTAGTGTTTTTACTCGCATACGAGTGTATTTCGACATGCACTTACATATTTCTTTTCTTTTCCAGGACAGCTGGAAAAGAAAAGTTTACGATGAACCGAAACTTTCATTCTACTTTTTCTTACTATATTGTACTTCATGGTCCCTCATATTAAAGAAAGACAACCAGACGCTGCTTAACCTAGCGGGCTATCAGAAGAGTGTTTACCAACTACAAACTCCTTGGGTTTAAACTCCTGGCCGGCCACGTCTTAGGGACACCACTACCTCACTAGGTGGGAGGGCGGTGATCTGTAGCGGTAAATTAGCCCCCAAAATAAATAGATCTATAAGTTGTCGACATTGGATGCTGACCACATTAGCTTAAATGGACTCACCTAGCTGAAGACGCTCGGTCATGCATATGCACCAGATCACGAGTGGGAACGCCGTGCTCAACAACCCCTGAACTTGCTAGCCAGATTAGATCAGACGATTCTTTATATATTGATAGCATATCAAATATATCGTCGAACCTCCTCGCTTCTGTCTTTTGATTTTACTAGGTGGGTACGCTTCATATTAGGTGTTACTGGTTAAAGCGTTGTCAAACTCCGAATACTTGTAGCATCTTCAATACGTTTACAAACGATTCATGCCTTCTTCGTAAGCTGTCAAGCGGAGGTCATAACTAATAAACCTCATTCATGACGCCTTTATAAGTTTGCCGTTGAGCGACTTGGATCCCTGCATAATTACATATGTTTCATGAGATTGCACCTACTCTATTTAAGCCGAAGGCAAATATTTAAAAGTTTGTAAGTGAGGAAAAGGTAAATCCCGGTCAATATAATCAAAAGGGTGTTCTTAAGTATATCCTGTTATGTGTTTATGTTACAGGATTCGCTTTCACAAAGTCGTTTGTATTCATAGAACTCTATGTCAGCTCAACTGCTATCTGCGATTTTAATTTTAATTATTCGAAAATGACTAAACTTGGTATTTTCTATTAGTGGACATGAAAGAGTATTTTAAAATTCACCTAAATCTTCTGACCTTTTTGTACTTTTCAAGGTTCGGTACTTGGCGGTCGTTTTGACTACGGAAATTTCTACCAAGGACAAAGGGCATGGATCGTGCCCCGGCAGCATATGAGACTACATATGAAACTAGGTACGAAACAACAGACGTTTCATCAGTCATCAACGTTGGTTTCGTACGGAGTTTAAGTGGAATATTGAAGCTTTGTCAAGTGAGTTCAATGTAAAGCATGTTAACGAATTCGGTGTATTGAAAAGTATCCTACTTAAGCGAATACCTGAGCAACCTCACAGTTTTTCCATGTAATACATATAAGGGTTTTTAGCTCATGATAGAAGTATCGCGTCAGCGCAATCATGGTTCTATTTCTTTATTTTGTGTCCTTATAACGAAGTTGTTATGTCCTTTTTTGTACAGATTTGGCTTACTAATTGAATGCTTCACGAAACAGTCATTGATCAACTTACCATTTAGCAGCTATTGTGACCTATGTATTGTCGTTAGTAACACTGGCTAACGCTTCAAATGCATGCCTAATGGCATCTGAAGCCATTTAGTTTCACGATGTTCAGGAAATCGATAGATGCCAGTTTCATTCAGCTATCCTCTATGAAATGATCACCCTTCTAGTTTTTTCCTACCTATTTCTAGCTTCAGTCAGTATTTCACATGAAATTTAAAATATATTCGAGCCACCTAGGAGTGTTTCGACTTGGTAGGACTCACTGTGTTCAGACATATGCTTTCGAACATTAAGCCTACACACTTTTACCACTAGGTATGGACAGTACTTGAAAAATAACGATCACATTTTTAAATCCGACGAAACCTCTAAACTCTGGAAGGGCAGCATAAAAGGAAATTTTTCTTCCAGTCTTTAAATACACTTTCACTCTCATGACGGGGCTAGCAACATTACAAACTGACACACTGAGTTTTCTCATCCACTCATATCTAAACACTGAATAGTTTATTTGCTACTCTACTGATAACGGTAAAAGCGCGTGGTTATATGTAGAGTAACTTGGTTCGACCCTGAAGACTAACCATTAAAGAATACAGCTTCTAGGGAGTCTGACTTAAATCCATATTTTTAGTCTAGAGGCGCGGAAATTTCAATTTGAAAACCTTTGTTGAAATTTGGATAGATGAGTTTGCTCCCAACACTATGTATTTTCATATGTTACATCAGTTTTACCAAAGGCAGTTTTTCTGTTTCCCTTACATCAAGTCAACAATTTACTTTTGTTCACGATTGTGTTAATTTATCTTTGCACAGATTCTACTGAGTTGTATTGTACTAATTTGTGTCGCTGCTACTTCATACTGGTCAATTCACTCGTCCGGTGGATGGGTAAATTTCGTTGCAGCTACCACTTTGATATGTGCATCAGTTTTCTACATATTTTATCTATTCAATCTTATCAGGAAATTGCCAGGTCCGTGGATTATAATTGTAAGCATATGTTTTTACTGTTTATTTAAATACTGTTCCATTTTTGCAAACAGACATACCCGATAAATAAACTGTTCCTGACTTAGAAGTTGAAAGTTGTTTGATTGTTAAACGTTACTACCTAAAATGTGTTTTAGACTTCACTATATATTTGACGGTGTGGGCCACTGATATTTTGTCTATAATTTCAGAACTTACAACTTGTTTAGATCACCATTGGAAATTTTTAACTTTGGTCCCTTGTTAGTGTCAATTCTCATCAGTTTAATGCTGCTGTTTATCGGTACTACAATTACATCCACCGGTTAACATCGTAAACATATTGCCAGGTATACTTTAATTCCTCACAATCATTACCTTACGGATGTTTATTGTCTTCTTGGTAATTATTTCGCAGTATGCAATGGCAAACCATTTTTACCACTCTTAGGTTCAGTATGTTATCTCTTTTATTAATTTAGCTAGCTAAAGTTTATGTACTCTCAAACACAAAGGTCAACTATATTACTGGGCTACCTAACTTGAAGTAGGTGTAGTGAAGTTCAAATCTGCTTACCAGTAATTGAAAATCTAGTGTTTCATTTACGGAGTGATGGATCCACAAATATCTGAGATCGTAGCTCTGTTTCACCATATAAATAGGAAAGTTAGTGATAGCGAATTGAACGAATATACACCGCTTGAGTTTAACACTTTTATCGATTAAAATCCTATGTCCTTGTTTAAATATCTAAACTATCATTAATCACTTTCGTACTTGGCTCGTTAGATGCTTCTAACGCCCTGGAAAATTCTAATTCAACAAATTAATACATATAACTGATATCCGGTCTCACATCATTTCCCAACTTTCATGATACTGAGTTTGTAGCATACTACTTCCATTCATACAAAAGAATATTCCTATTATAATCTTTTTTCTTGATTTTCTGAAGATTTGTTATGTGGAAAGTTATTTTCGGAGAAAAATGTACATTATAGTGTGCAAAAGTATATTGTAGTAAAATCTATACCATTTCAGTACATACTGCTCTCACTTTTGCTTTCCCTTTGTACATGCATGAAACGCTGACACAATAAATACTATAAAAGTGCCAGTTCTTAATAAGTTATAGAGAATTACATTCTAAATAATCACTATCAAAATATATAGAATAAATATGTAATTTAAGCCAGAACATTTCATATAATTGTGGTACATTGATAATTATACCAGTTAATTTATATTTTTTAATTGAATATCGAGAAAGTCATTTATCGGTTTTTCTGATCTTATTGATAAACTCCACATTTATATACTACGGTTTGGAAAATATGATATGTAAAATTGAAAGAAAAAAAATGCAGCAGTCCTTAAACGAATAACTCATTAATACATATGTCTAGAACATTAAACACTATACTAGCTGAATTACTGGTGGCAAAACATAAGTAAGAAGCTAAGATAAGAACTATTAGGTATTATTCTTTAGTAATATAATGTACTGAAGTATTTCCAGGGATAAATTATTTCAACCTACTTAGTATTTCAGTTTCTGTTGCATTGATTTAATTCAGATATGGTAAACTAAAACATGCCCACTTAGTTGCATGCCCTGGTACGGCTGAAGGTGGGAAGAGTCCGCTCTCCCTCTCGAAATGCTCTCACATGGTCACCCATATACAGCCACTTCCATGAAAGTCTTATTCACTACCTTCTCGCTGTGGGGATTTTGTCTACGAAATCGAGATGACGGAAAGCGAATGTCCGGCGCTCTAACCAGGTTAATGAACACATAAGGTCCACCTAAGAGGGTTATAAAACCCTGATTTATAACCAGTGGTGTACATAGGCTCCATGATCCTAAGGGAACAAAAGGTGTATGAATCTGGTCACTGGCTACCATGGGACTACGTCTCCTAACGTTGCTCCATTGCCTTGTGGATTAGGCCTTCAGGTCAAAGGCTCGAGATGTGGTCCCCTAAGAAAACCACCTGCTTCGTTTTAAACACCCGGACAATGTTCCAACCACTACTAACGTAATTGTTATTGCGTGGCCCCCTTGTATCAATGTTTGTGTTCAAATAAAAATTGCTACACTATCTTACAGCTCATTATTATCATTTTCCATGTCTTTTCCTTTTGATTATTCATAATCCTATCCAGTTGACAAGTTGGTAGAAAAGTGACATTCTTCTAAAGCATTCCGAATTATCCATATTTATCAACCAATGAATTATCTTAATTAGCCTTTACAATTGGTTAATTTAAACTACATTGGGAGTGAAACTACGTCTACTGACAACATTAGATTATTGTAAGGAGTAATTGCCGTGAATTGACTAAAATTTGAGATGTAAATCATTGGCTTTTTAAATACTTCCTATGGGACATAACAGCCCGTCAAGTCATACACAAGAAAAACGACAGTTCTTTAATGTTTTCCCATCTAACTTCAGTTCTTGACAAATCTATTTTCTAAACAATTACTGTCTGTTAGATGTTAAATGTCAAAATTGTTCACTTTCGATCATATTGATAATGTGTATGAGAAAGAGCTAATCTGTTCGTCTTTCATGTCATACATGTTACACAGTCCTAATCGTTATCTTCTTTATTGTTTCTTGTTTTTACAAATAAACTAAAAAATAATGAAAAGGAGTTTTCTGTGCTACTGATATGCACCTTCTTTTGGTTTATAACGTTGATCGTTGCAGCGGCTCATCACTCGAATGGTTCTGGTGCTATAGCTGCGGCTGTAAGTGATACTGTTTTTTTATTTAACTTAATAATAATGAGGATAGTGTAACTTACTTATTTGTCCAGCAATGGGTTGCTCCCATTTGACTGATTGAATCAACTAAGGGACATATATACTGCTCATCAGTCCACTCTATGTTGCTTCGTGGCTATGAAACATGGTTCTTGAAAATAGGTTTTTGATTACTGCTCACTTTTCTTTGAATTACTGAGTGACCAATGTTGAGGATAGACATAGGGTACCTTGTATAGATAGCAAGTCGGTAGATGGGGTTGTAAATCTTTATCGGTTGAGGTGATTAGGGCATGTGTTACGTATTCCTAATCGACGCTTCCCCCGATAGACGAGGTTTACTGTTGTAGGACCTGGGTAGAGGAAAATTAGAGGCGACTTAACTATGATATGACATCACTCAATTAAGCCATTGCTCGTTCAAGCTCGTTGGCCATAATCCCATTCCTTTAGCTGATAAAGGTAACAATTTCAGTCGATCTAACATCCTTACTTGGTACTTGTAACTTTCCATTCATCGATATTATTTGTTCCGTTTGGTCCATATTCTTATGTTTAGATTCCTATTATATTTAATATAATCTCCATTCCTTTGCTTCTCATCTTTTTAATCTCTTCTTTCATTATGCGGTTGTAAGGTATGACAACTTGGGTCGATGCACATTCGTCTTAGGTTCTACACTGATGTCTCACTACCGTGCCTGACCTCAACACCACTTATTTTGAGTACGATTCCGATTTAGATGATTAGATGTCATCAGAATCTGTTTTGTAATAACCATTTTCGTTTTTTGTTACCATTATTTGATGTTAGCAATACCTAATGCACTAACTAACAAGCTAGTAGGATTTATTTACCGTTTGGGTTTAACAGCAGTAATTCGATTCATCTCGCTGTATTATTTATTGAACATCTTTTGTAAAAGTCAAACATATAAAGATCATCATTTTCAGTTACCAATATCTTCACAGCTACTTCTTCAAACAGCACGTATTAGTTAATGAGTTTGCTAATTCCCGTTGATATATATAATTAATGTCTATTTTGTATACCAAAATTATTAAATAAAAGGATGTCCAATTTTATTTAGGTTATATCAACGGCTTCATATAGAAAATGAGGTTGGTAATTATTCAATGCAGTAAACATAGTAGTACACTCCGAATATTGATCTCATTATTTTCAGTCTTACTCATCAATTCTTATTCTTTCATTTTTCCGAAAAAACCCTCTGCAATTTGCATATGTATATAGGTATTTTCAGCGATCGCTCTTGCGGTTTACATCACAGAACTAGCCACTCGATTCCGATGTGAACGCAGAGGTAATGGCTTCATCATCACAATGACTGGTGTAATGACTACACATGCAACACGTGGTCCGCCTACATTTGCTCAACCAGCTCCAGGACATATGCCAGCTGATTCAGCAGATCCACATATTGGATTTTCAGGAGCTTATGCACCAGGTGAACGTGCAGATGAAGGTTATATAATGCCATAATAACTTGTGTATTACACTTGGATTATTTGTTTACCTCCACTACCCACATTATGTGAGAATCTCTTCACATCCTCTCAAACTGTCATTAGGCTCCTTAAACTATATACATATAATTGTATGATTGTGCTTCTGTTTGGCATATATGGATTGTTACTCACCAAGTTTGTATGTTTGGAGCTGATGAAATAGACAATAAAGCACTACAACTCACACAAAAACAGTTATCACTAACACTTATTATTACTATGAATTGCATCATTTATGTGTATATTATCTTGGTTTATTGTTTAATCTGCCCATTGTATCTGATATCATTGCAGTTGAATTTTGAAGCGTGTTCGTTGCTTTTTTGCGTATTTCTTGCTAGCTAGATAGATAGATAGTGTTTCAATTACCTCTTGTTTCCACTTCTTTGTTTTTTTGATGATACAGCCGACTGTAGTCAAATTCTTATTCGCTATTTCATGCCTATCCTTGCCCCTTTCCTCTTTGCCTCTTTTATTATTGCAACAGTTCCGCTTTTACCTTGTTTTCCTCTTCATCTAATCATATATGTGTTTCCTGCATTGCCTACTCCTCAACGCAAGTATTTGTGTTTGTATCAGTTTTATGTCTATTCGATTGTTGTGTTGGTTTTTGTATTACCCTTCAATATCCTATTTTTATTCAATCAATCAGCATAAAAATTTGGAGAATGATTATCATCAGTAAAAGTTGTGAAATGTTCCCTAAATGTATGTTATAACTTGTTATTTAAAATGGAATATAACTAAATATACATATACATGAGCATATGTTGTCCTTTGTGGAAATTCCCACTATGATACTCTACATTTAAACAGTTAATTTATTTGTGCGCATAGAGTTACTTAGATGGTTGAGGATAGGACAACTATTTGTTACAAATAAATTATGACCTTTAGCTTGTAGTTCTATCCGATGAACTACTTCACTTATCTGTCATTGATTGTTACTGGTTGTAGATTGGAATACCGTATATATCCGATGTCGAGCTCCATTTATAGAACATATATTTTCAGGTTTTCTAATGGCGTTTTTACCAATTTTTGGATACCAGATCTATCAAAGCCTGTGGTAAACTCCATAACTGTAGTTTCGTGCTAGGTACAGCTAGCACTATATGCTATGTATTTAAGCTCTGCCTTGTCGGTGTTCCAATCTCTGACATTCTACGCTGTCTATCTTGCTATCCACAAACTTTCTGCTCCATATTCACTTATTTATTGTTACTCATATCAGGTATAACTGCTTATAAACTTGCCCGACTACCGGAAGATGATATAGGTGAAATGGGATTTGAATCCGGAGCTAAATGTTCACCACAACTTTCACTAATGTATTCCATACGTCAGATAACAAATTCTTGAGTTACCATACTTGCTCTCTATCTTCAAATCTATTTAGTTTATGAAGCCAAGTGTTATGAGATTCCCAAATGCGAAGTAGTCGTTGGAGTCTATGCATTACTTTTTTGTCTATTACACCAGCAATTTAGCGATTTACATACTATATATTAATGCATTGCCATAGTATTTAGCTGGTTTCCACATTTGAATGACTTCCTTTGATATGGTAAGCAAGGATTTAATTTACTGCAGTATCCGTAATCTAAGAAGTTGATTTCTTTCTTCGATCGTCTAAAATACATAATTACATTTTAAGAAGGAGTAATTATATTTGTTATGTCTGCTAGTTATAGACGCTTAGTTTTATGACACCTTAAATCCGTTTTTTCGGCAAATTATCAATCCCAAGTACTACTCTGGTTAGCTTTTTTTAGCGAGTTAGTTTTCTACGGGATGGGGACGCTAACCCCATGCCCAACCCTCCTCCTTTATCCGGGCTTGGGACCGGCAGTAGCCCCCTGAGGGACTCCAGGCGGAGTTCCAAGTACTACTCAGTTTAATTTATTCAAATTTTACTATTCATCACACAAAATTCACTGTACTTTAAACAGTTTTAGATGTCAAATAAATCTTCATCTCATTATGTTCTTACGTCGTGTGGTTCACGGGTTCATGTAGTCAGTACCAGTTATCTGTTGTTACGACAACTATCGTTGTGTTTTGGGAAGGTTAATAAGATTTTGATTTGCTCCAGTTTTTGATTCGTGGAAATCGCAGTGATTTCTCGGTCTCAAGTATGGCAATAGTTCTCGCTATTGGAACAGTGGCGATGGGTTAAGTTGAAAATTATTCCAATCAAATGATGCAGTGTAACTTACTTGAGCTACGTCAAAAGGAGTTTGACCATTAACTGAAGAAGTCTGCCGAGAAATTCACCGCAAATTTTTCTCAGTTTTCAGTCGGCAATATTAAAAGAAATGTGGATACAACATCAGGTTATTTGTCAGGTTCATCTTCACTCTGGAATTTGGGGTGAGGGTCGATGCTTAGCATGTCAGAAATGAAGATTTATTTATGATTTAATTGACTGAATCGGACGTTTGTTCAAAAGTCCCTACTCATCTCATTGGGTTGAGGTCAAGTGAAGATATCAATTATACCAGTTTTATTTTGCCAACGATTTCAATTTTTATATAGCTCTCAGTGTCTTTGGAAAAGTGTTTGACTTACAGTCGTCAGTTCTCAGTATTCATCACAACTGCCCAATGAACCTGATAGTAATTATTCAGACAAAATGAATGTCCCATCTAAATACTTTCATATTGTTTCAGTAAATGAAATTCGGTTCGATTGTGACATATTTGTCTGTAGTAGACAACTATCTACTAATCCGGAAATCAATAAGCAACATTCGTCAGGTATAAATCAAGAATTATCTTGTTCTCTTGTTGTAGGTCACAGAAAAATTTAGATGGATTATCAACTTAAAGCCTGATGTTTAATTGGTGGAGGATGAAGAAAGTATGGATGATAAGAAAGTTTTTAATATCTAGTCAACTCATCAGACAAGTTATAATGGCTCTATTCATTTAAAGGAGATAATATATACATGGTATTTTGATGATCTTTGGTACCTCAAAAGATAATTTTTCATATAAAACACACAAATATGTAAAATATCAACAACAAGAATGAAAGATTCAATTTGGTAAGACGTCTTTCATCGATTTATAAGATGCAGATCAATTTCCTGTAAACTTATCATGCTAACGTAATATCTAAAAACGTTAGAGACTCAAATGACAAGGGCCAAGGACCGCTTTCTTAAAAAGGGGATGAAGACTTTTATCATACACTCATTACATTTCAAAACCCATAGATACGGAGAAGGGAAACTAATTTCCAGATGGAACTCCAACGGAAAGTCTAATACGTATCGAAGTGGTAATGGGGGAGGCGTTAGGATGGAATACAAATATGGTCATGCTTTAACTATGTGAATTTTGTTCATTACTCCCCATTCCAACCATGAACGTTGGTTAGGCTTCTGAAGAAGCCGATTGGCTCTTCTGTATAATTGTTTTGATCACTCATGTAGCAAACACCCGGGCTAGGGTATACAGCTTCTGTGGAGAAACCAGTAACTCCCAGGGCCGAGTGCATAGGTTTGTTGCTATTGAAAAAGCAAGATGAACATCACGTTTTTTAGCAAGTATACGTTACATGCACACCAGAAGTACCCATACCTGAGACTTACACACTCCAAAGTATACACATAAGAATAGATGCTTTAATTAGTAACTAAATCCCAATGCGTTTGGATTACTAAATACACATTACATAAACAACATATATACGTAGGATTAATGCTGATTAATCCCATAGCGTATACATAAGTAAAGATGATGCCATACTTGGTATTGTGCAGATATACACCACCTACACATCAAATGGACCAATACACACCAAGGATACATATAAGTATAAATGAGCTAGCGTATCCAGCACAAGTATAAATATCGTTAAACCGTTGTTACGATGAAGTACTGAATTAATTCCGTCTCCACTGGCTGCTCATGTTACTTCATGAAGCAGTCTCATTACTCAATGACCACTACCTAAGTGTATTTGATGTGAACCTTGTTGAGCACCATGTGAAACATGTGTATTTGTAATAATTCTCTAACTCTTATGTTGAAAAAAGCTAAGCCATATAAAGCGAGAGAGAGCAGCAGGTTCAAATGGATTAGCTGTGGAAATCCTTAAAAATGGTGGTTCAGTTTTAGCAGTTAGATTGAATGAAACCTTGTAGCTGAGCGTAATCCCATCATATTGGTCTCGACCAATGATGCAAGTCTATAAAGAAGGACAAAAATTCTCTTGTAACAATCAAAGATCAGTCAGTTTAACCTACTTAATATATAAAATATCAGCTTCAATGATACTCCGATGCTTAACTAGGGCCTGTGAGGAGTAAACTCGAGAAAACCAGGTTCGTTTCAGGTTTGGGTGTGGATGTATAGACCAAATATTCACCCATCATCAGATTCTGGAACACAGGTATACTTTTCAACACTCGACTATAGTTGTATTGCTTGATCTTAAAACAACGTTTGACTCTGTTGATTGAGAGGTTTTGTAAAAGTGTTTGTCATTGCAAAATATACCAAAGAAGTGCCTAAACCCTGTACATGCTCTCTGCTCGAACACTGCTGGTCGAGTCAGAGCTTATGGATGACATGTTGGAACCATCAACCTGAAGTGGTATTCATGAGGGTTGTCCACCTCCGTTTTTGCTTAACTTCGTCATAGACATCCTCATAACGATAGTCCTCACACCACTTAACTTTTTAGGGGTTGATCTTCTATTAGGAGATTCACTTGTTAACTTAGAATATTCAGATAATATATTTCTACTTGGTGAAGATGGTGACAAAATGCAGTCTTCTGACCACCTTGACCAACAATGCAAGCGTGCTTGGTGTGCGATTCTCTCCCTCCGAACGTAAAGTGTTGCTTCAGAATTAACGTGCGTCGGCGCTTGAATAGCAGCTGCAAAGGAATGCCCAGGACAGGGTTGGATGGTGAATACTGGTGGGCGACTTATACTTCTCCACGAGGGGTAACAGACGT